TCCTCAGTACAATCTAGTTGAACTTGTTACTCCTCTAGAATCTCTTGATGAGCTGGTCTCGACGGATCTCCTGGAGCAGTCAGGACCATGTACGGATGTGAGATCGTGAACCACCTGATGTATTTGTCCATGTAGCTCTAGTCATTTAGCGATATGATAACCCAAGCCTCATCCGGTACCAGATGAATTTGATAATCAGCAAACATCTCATCTATCTGTACACGATTCAAGGTAGGATGAGCAGAGACAATATGGTATCATGGTGTACCCAAACTGCTGCATGACCCGCTCGAGAAGATGAGAAGCAGTGATACGCAATCCGCAGGCCAGCCATCTAGAGTATAGAGATATGTCGTCAAATGACTGTGTCTGACGCTGATCCACGTAGCAGTTGAAGTGGATGTCCTCGGAAGTCAAGCGGTCAAGATAGACTCTAAAAGGCTCGACCGCATGATTCCCTCTCAGCGGGATAAAAACACAGGCACATGACATCTTCTCAGTGCTTTCATCCCAACACACTAAACCAGTGATGCGTGGGAAGTGCGGGAGGATCCAAGTCTGAAATAAAAATAAAAAGAATTTAGGGATAAAGAATTATCGCAAATATGAAATGAAAATGATAAAAAAACATTCAAGGATAAAAAATTATTACCACCAGTAGTGTCGTGATGCCTGTTACCTGCTTTGTCCTTCATCAACATCCATCTCTCAACTTCAAATATTTATAGGCCAGGAAATCCGCCCCCTAGTTATACTCATGGATCCGTGTGACATCCAAGAAGTACCAGAGGTATGCAATGTTAGTATAGGTGGCACTCGTGTCCACAAAAATACAAGTGTCAACCAAATAAAGAAAATATGTCCTCAAAACATGAGTCTTGTGTAAGGTCACCTGCTCGGCATCACCATCAACCTACTGTTCAGCAACGATCTCATCATCATATATCTTCTTCAGGAACTCAAACCTAGCATGAGCACCCTTGATCATATGCATCTCCTCAATCGCGTCCCCTGGATCAGCCCCAGATGTTCCACTGTCATCTCGACCACCTCGTCTTTGGTCATCCTACCATGATGGAGGAATCTCCCCCTGATCATAGGATGCAACAAAGACGAGACATCGTCTAGTGTGATAAACATCTCACCATGCGGGAGATGAAAAGAAGACGTCTCAGAGTGCCATCTCTCTACGAATGCATTAAGCATCCTGTGGTTGACCAGACTGTAACCGGTCATGCATAGGTCACTCAACCCAGAAGCGGTCAGAACCGACTGAAACAACTAGTTTTCCGGATGATGTAATGCTAAAATATCCCTTATATGGTTCAGAAAATTCTGAGGATTACGCACCTGCAATTTTCCAGAAATAATCAATGTCAATAATAATCAAAGTTAGAAACAATCAATGTCGGCAACTTAAATTAACGTAAAAAATAAAAAATAAAAAAACAGACTAATGCTACCTCTCCATCCCAGATATATCTGGCAGTGTGGTCTAGATACAGAGGAAGTAGGGACATATCAGATGGACCCCCTCTGAATCCCTCTGGCTCGGCATCAATAACCTCACCCTTCGGAGGTGGCACTGGATCAGCAAGATCATCAGTGGGAGGTGGCACCGGATCAGCAGAAGGTGGCATAGGTGCATCCAAACGCTTGCGGGAGGATGAGGGAAGTAACACATCAGCTGGTGCATCTCGTCTCCTAAGGAAAGAAGAAGAAGAAGGTGGAGTGGCCTGAGATGAAGATGAAATGGCCTGAGATGAAGATGTAGTGACCTGAGGTGAAGGCAAAGCCCCATGAGTAGACTGAGCCCTAAGAGTAGATTGCGCCCCAGAAGTTGACTCCTCTGCCTGAACAGATGTACCTGCTACCTTCAGAACATGCTAGCTCCATTCCCCCCGGATGGATGCGTGCTGGGAAACCCGTCCAAGTCTCAGTTTGTTGACTCTGTCAGCCATTATGCCTACAAGGTAAAACTAGCCATATAATTAGTTTACGCAAAAGAACAACACAAATAAGAAAATCATATTAAAAAATAGACTGATGAAATTCAAGAGATATATGTACGAAAACATTCCGGAGATGTATCTCTGGAATTTCTCAAAGTATATGAAACATTGAACTTCTTCGGAGATGTATCTCCGAAATAATTTTGGGATTCAGAGATCGCGACAATGGCGTCCTCTACTATTCATAATGTAAAAAATACAACTCTAATCGTCCATTTGAGCCAATAAACAATACATACACTTACTCTAAACTATGCTTCATGTGATTTCTAAACATTTCTATACCTAACAATTGATTCTAACTCGTTTACAACAAAACTCAAATATTTACCTAAAACTCGAAAAACTTACCCGAAATTTATGATTTGGAAGATGTTGAATGATGAAATGGATGATGCTTGATGTTTACTTGAGCCTCCTATTGATGAAATCTGATTTGGTGAAGTTGGAGAAATTTGGAAATGAGAGAGTGGAAGAGTTTGTGAATGAAAATGGAATGTGTGGAGGAGAAGATTTTGGCGCGACAATAACCTCCAAAATATTTCGGCGATATATCTCCGGAATATTTCAACATTCACTTAAGTCTTGGAGCGTTTGAAGATACATTTCCAGAATATTTTAACGTTCAATTGAGTTTTAGTGCGTCCGGAGATATATCTCCGAAATTAATGGACATATGTATAAATTCACATGGTATTCAATGTTGGAGGGAAATTTTCACTACGGAGTATTGAACATTGTGAACATCCTTCTTAGAGCAACAACCTTGTGAGAGACACACCACATACTCACCCAAAACCTTAAAGTGATAGGTGTGTGGGTTCTCCCACTTATAAATGCTCAAGTATTATCCACACTACTCACACTTATTATACTTAACATTTCCTCTCAAGTGCGAGTCTATCCCTTAAGCGAAAGCTTCAACTGTCCAACTGCACTTTCTGTTGTGTGTTTCTTACTCACCACCCTTGTACCGGCGTTGACACTTTTCAACGGGACATCTACTAACCACCACATGTGCAGAGTACTTTCGATACAAGTGAACCGGTCTTTCACTCGAACCAAAGACCCTGATACCACTGTTAGGGGAGATTTTTACTACGAAACATTGGACATTGTGGACATCTTTCTTAGAGCAATACCTTTATGAGAGACATACTACATACTCACATAAAACCTTAATGTGATAGATATGTGGATTCTTTCCCTTATAGTTAACATTCAATTTCTCTTTTTCAATTCAATTTCTCAATTTTAATATAAACTTTTTCAATTCAAATGGAAGCATAGCTCATCGTGACAAATTGCTTAGCAATGTTTATAAATTCAACTAACTGTCACGTGAGGATCAAGTTTACAAGTTATAGGCCTATCATGGATAGGTTTGAAAAATATGACACAACCCAACCAACATATTATGCTGTTATTATTCTTCCTCAATCACACATTATTCCATTTTTTTTCTCCATGAGATCAATTGTTCTATTTAAATATATAAACATAGATGCTTGTACATCTTCTCTTCAACCCTTTAAACTATATTCTCGCTGTCTTATTTTTTAAGGAAATTATACTTCTGGTCGACAATATAGTTATATTCAATTTTCTTTAATTTTTGTGGATATTAATTTGTCAATTATATTCTAAACATTTAAAGTTGAAAGTAACGAGTTCTTCATAAAATTATATATAAATATACGATTTTGACTAGGAGTGATAAAAAGAGTTGAATCCGCTCGTTTAATCCATCATTTTTAACGAATTGGGGCAAGATTTTCGATTCGGTGTCTTAAGTTGTTCTGTCTCGTCTAACTCACTTTTAAAACGAGCCTACGGCAGAACGAAGCGGATTTTACCCACGGACATTTTGTTTAAAAAAAAAATATTTTTATGAAATTAAAACAATTTTAACGTGGTATGTAGTAGACATATTTTTAAAACAACTCTCATTTCTTTAAACTTTATTATTCATTTTTCACATAACCACAAACACCTTATTTTGAAGACATCAATTGGTCTCTACTTCGTTTTTTATTTTCACTCATAGTAGAAAATTTTTTATTGCAAAACACAGAGAATATATTTTTTTCTATTTTTTATTACTCGTTGTTATTGAAGTCGGGTTCTAAAGTTATAAGATCAGTTTTGCACAAATGAGTTTGTTTCTCATAATGATAATAAATTTTTTATTTTTAGGGTTTTAATGTGTTTGTTTTAAGGTTTTGGTATTATAGTTACGTTGTTTGTTTATATTGAAAAATATGACATTTACATTAAGACTTGTTAAAGTTTTATTATGCATAGTGAAAATTTGTCGGCCTCTTTATTAATGATTAACAATTTTGTAAATTATGCAGAAAATCAAATTGTAAAAAAAATTGACGGGTCGGTCTGTCAATCCGCCAACTCGTTAATAAACGAGGCGAACTTGACTTTTGAGATCAAATGTTTAAATTAACCCACCCCATCCTATATTTGAACGAATTTAAATGGGGCAAATCTAAACGGGATGGACCGTCTGTCTTGCCAAACCTAATTCTGACATATAAAAATTCGACAATGAATATATCAGGCATTCACATTTATTCCCTTACTTAAGTTGAGATCAAACCTTTCATATTAAACGGTATCACTCACATAAATAACATATGAATTACCAATAGAAAAACTCTTATTTCATACTATTTAATTTTTATAATCAAATCAAATAGAAGTACAATAGAATGAAGGCCTTTCATTAACCACACACTTCACTATGTCACTTATCGTTCCATTAAGAACAAACTAATTTAGAAATCTAAATAGCAACTTCCTATATATGTATATTCTTAATTTCCCTAACACACTATTTTGGAAACAAGATCACAATTTTCTATATATAACATAGACACAAAAACATGACACTGACTAGTTGACATTTTGTGAAAATACAATAATTTAATAATACACTGATACGTGTCAGACATCAGACACATTTTTAATCATAAATTAACACGAACTATCTTCGCTCGAAATGATTCCACCTTTTGATGGATTGCCTCTTTGAAGACAGTCAAGAGGAGGGACAATTTGAGTTTTCAACTCACCATATGCTTCCCAACAAAAAGGAACATTTGAGCTTTTGCTTGATTCTAGCTTTATAGTATCAAGTGTTATACCCTTACAAGGTAAACTATCACTACATGCAAAATGAATAGGCTCTTTAATGTATGTTCCTTTTACATTCACATAATGTATGCTTGATACTGCAACTGCTGATGTTTCATTATGACACCTTCCACCATCACAATAGTATTGATCAATTGTTATTGGAGTTTGAACTTCTGAAACTTGAATGTTTGAGAACATGATGTTTTGGACAGAACCAGAACCTCCCTGTCAAATACAAACACAACATTAGAACTTGTTTTTTGTAACTGTTTGATTAAAATTTATGAAACACAGATATCTGATACGACACAGACACATTCACATTTGAAACTTTACCTGCCATGTTTTGATTCTGACACCGGTCAAAGTGTTTTGGATAGTAACATCGCGAACCGTGACATTTGAAACACAAGCTTTTGTGTTTTCTTTTCCAAGACTTCCAATGCTAAATCCATGACCAGGTCCACAATTCACATTATGCACCAATATGTTAGAACATCCAGTTTGTACCGACACACAATCATCACCTGCGTAAAAAACACATGTGTCAGTGTCAGATACTAATAAACCAACATTGATAATAATTTTTTAAAAAATTAAGTATAATCAGATGTGTCAGTGTTAGACACCGACACTAACCCTGATACATGTCAGATACGAGATTCTTACTTACCACAAGCAAGTGTGCTGCTATAGATGACAACATCTCTAGAATTTTGTAGGTGAATTCCATCCGTGTTAGGACTATCACCGGGTGACGAAACTGTTATATCAAAAACTTGAACGTTTGTGCATGAATCAAATTTGAGATGAGTTTGTTGACTGTTCTGAATTGTTATTCCAGTAACTGTTACACCGTCACTTCCATAGAATCTTAGTGCCTAAATAATGCAAATATAACAAAATCAGACTATTCCCTCGAGCCGAGAATTATAATAAACTGTAAATTCTCTTTCAAAATATTTATGACGGTAAGATTTTTAGGATTGAATTCGAACTCAGAACTTCTGATTAAACTTGAAGAATTATGCTTACAGTTGGTTTGGTTTTCGGAAGATTCCCATTGCCATTCCACCAAACAGAGCCTTGACCATCAATGACACCTTTACCTTTGATTGTAATTTTGTTTAGCTTAGTGAATTCAAGCCATTGCAAGGTACCTGAGCCCCAAGCTGAAGAGCTTGTAGGAGCAATGATTTTTCCATCTAACTGCATTTGTTTTCATAAACACAAAATATTTTAGGAATTGAGTTTTATTTTTATATATTTTTAGTGGAAAAATATTGAAATCCAACTTATCTCATCGGCCGCATTCACGTATTCAGAATATTGACAATCATAAAAATACTAAATTTAAAATTTTAACGGTTTATTTTGGATCCAACAATCAAGAATATACCGAATAATAAATGTAAATTGTATGGAGTCATAATTAAAAATATTTTACTTAATTATTTAAATTTTTAGAATTTTTAAATTGTAAATTGAGAAATTGTATAGTAAAATAAATTTTTTTGGCCTCAAAGCCCTTGTCTTATTGGCTTGGCCTTAGACAGGCCTAGATGATTATTTTATAATGTAAAAAAATTTGATGAATTAAATTCTAAAACATTATGTACTTGACTTGTCCTATCTATAACATTAAATATAGTGATTTTCTAGTGTTTGCAATATCACATACATTGCATGAAAATGAAAGAAAAGTGAATAAGACAAACTCTAAATTCACCTGAAAAATAATGTTTGGCTGGCAATTAGGGCCAGAGAATGAAATTGGTTTTACAAGAAAAACAGAACCAGATGGAACAATCATTGTTGAAGCCTCAATCTTACAAGCAGCTGCCCATGCATTTTCAAAAGCCTGTCATTTTGTAAAAAGTGAGAATAGTTCTAAGTAATTCAGTAGTTATATGAATAAAAATAATCATACACATTAATAGGTTTAACATGTATATCGCATAATCGCGTTAGAATTTTGTACATATATTTTACGTTCAACAGTCAAAGGAACTGTTAACCTAACACTTTTCACCCTCATAATAAACATCAGTTAATTTTTGGTCACCTTTGTGTCGTCAGCGCGACCATCGCCTTTAGCTCCAAAATCTAACACATTAAAAGTAGAAGAGGCGGCTTTGAGTTTTCTCCATTGGTTGATTCTTGTGGCACTACACTTTTCAAAACTAGAATACATGATCAAAAAAGCAATGGAAATGATCAATGTAATAGTGTTTGTCTTCATTTTGAAAGAGAAGGGTGTATAAAAAGTGAAAAATTGGAGGATTTCAAGAGAAGAGATTTTCTTAAGTTGACATATATCAAAATGGAAAATGAAGATGTATTTATAGAGAAGAAAAAACACTATGCACACATGAGCCATATAGTAAAGGTTCATGCATTTGATGTAATTATCAAATATATTGATTTTTTTTTTTTTTAATATTTTGATTTAACTCACATGTTGACATGAGTGTTTTCTTTTTAATTAGTATGTTGAGAATATTTTTTTACTTCAAAACTTACAATAGCCATTTTCAGGTGAAAAGTCTTTGCGCTATTTTATGTTTTTATAAATCTAAATAATTCGGTTGACAATATATATTTATATATGTATTTATGATATATTATGTGTTAAAAAAACAAAGTAGAAATGAAAAATAAATTACATATAAGTTTCATTTTGGTTCATATCTTTTGTCTCAATCTCAATGATGGTGTACTCATATCTTTTGTCTCAATCTCAACCATATATTTTGGTTCACAAATTATTTAAAAGATTTTAATTTTGTTTCATTGTGGTGAACTCAATGTTGGTGTACTCATATCCTTTTGTGTATGATTGAGTTATATTATTCATCTTATATATTTGAAAATTTTGCATATCTCATAGAAAGATTCTAAGAGTGGTAACTGGTATGTAGCTAGGATACCATCAAAACCGGCAACCATAACGGCAATGATTTTGACAAATATATCTAACTTATGTTTATGAATATGACTTATGTATAAATATTTGTTTTAATGTAAAAAAAGAAACTATAATATAAAAATTAACAACCATGTTCTACTGTGCTTTGCGTGAAATATACAGTAATAGTTAGTTGAAATTGAAGAATTGAAAGTGACACACCATGTGAATTTTGTTGATCATTTGGCTATTGTATATGTTGCAAATATTGCGGCTATATAAGAGAAATAAAATTATTTTAATCCATTTATTTATTTAATTTTTATATAGCTTAAGATCATTGCATTTAATTATTATATATAACATGTTTTTATTAATGATTTTCATTTGATATATTTTGACGGGTCGGAACATCCATGAAAAATAAATGTCAATGAATTTTTTGATTGATCCATATCAGGAAAGATCAACATTTAAGTTAATTGATAGTTTGTTGTACAAATGGGTAAAAGAAAAATATGCATGTTCATCTTTTGTTCTGTCTGTATTATAGAAGAAAATGATACATCGATCATGGAGAAGGGGAGTGATTGGCAAGCTCTTGGGGAGGAAATTGGCTACAAGGTGCTTGAGACTAGATTGAGATAGACGTGGGTGAAGAATGGTGTTATCAGAATCATTGATCTGAGTAATGATTGTTATCTTATAACTTTTTCTTACGAGGATGATAAAAGGATAGCAATGCAAAACAGTCATTGGTTCATATATGATCGTTATCTAACGATCAAGGATTGGTGCCCAAACTTTCAACCGGAGAATGATTTCATTGATGAAATAGTTGTTTGGATCAGAATTGTAGGACTACCAATATAATACTATGATACGAGAGTCTTGACTTTTATTGGTAATCGGGTAGGTCATGCGATCAAAGTGGATAAGAATACCATGCAACATGAAAGGAAAAGTACGCAAGAATTTGTGTCTGAGTCAATCTATCAAGACCTTTACTAGCGTTTTTCAATATCAAAGAAAGAAAGTATTGTACCGAATATGAAGGTCTCCATCTACTTTGTCTAAGTTGTGGTAGGTATGGTCACTATAAAGAAGGTTGCAGATTTAGAAACAGAGGAAAAATTCTTGCTCGGGTTGATCGTGGTAGGAAGGAGAAAGTGATAGCAAAAGCATCAACCAAGCCGGTGGAAGTGAGTATGGATGTCGTTAAAGACGATTCTTCGAAAGTTGTGCGGGAACATAAAAAAAAGGAAAGAAATTGTTGGAAGAGAGGAGAAACAATACTTCAATGAGAATTAATGGGGAGAATATGTTGTCGGGATTGAGATTCGTTTCTTTAGTTGACAATAACTCCAAAGAGATTGAAACAGCTAACACTGATTCATATGCAGAAAAAGGGAAGTCAATCATGGGAGTTTCCAAAAATATGGTGGGAGTAGGGGTGGCAAAATGGGTCGGCTCATTTGACCCTTCATTTTTTGCGGGCTGGGCTGAGGTTTTCAACTCGGTATTTTAAGTTGGCCCGAACCACCTAACCCACTTGAAAAGCGGGTCAGACCGGGGCAGGGCAGATTTTTCCCGCGGGCTTTTTGTTAAAACTTTTTTATTTTCTTACTTAGAATTAAAACAACTTTAACTATAAAAACAACACTCTTTTCTTAGGATTATGTTGATTGAATTGTATTATAAATTATTATACAAACAAATTGAATTATAATTGTAACGTTCTGTCTATAACTTTCTAATACAGGTGCTTATTGAAAAAACATGAAATAAAAGAACAATTGTATGACATGTTGAATTATTAAGTTGTCAAACATTAGCTCACATGTTTTCTTTAGAAATAGATGTTAATTTTAAGAAAATGAAGGATTTGATTAGTGCATACATGTGACAAATTTAGGATTTAACTATTAAGGAATCAGTAAAAATAAAAGTCTAGACGATGTAAAGAGAGAGAAAGTCAAGTGTTGATATTTTATGCACTACTATTTTATGCATTGTGATGTTTTATGCAGTGTAATTGTTATCATTATTTGTCTTTTGTAAATTCTTAATTGAGTTCTTTTAGTAGTTAGTTAGTTTTTAAATAGGATTAGGATTATATGTATTGTTTATTTATTTTGATACGTTTTTTATTGTGCTTAAGTTTATTTCATTATTTTTTTGGTAATTGGTCATTATTTATTTTATTTTTTGAATTGTTTGGACTTAAGACATGTTGAAGTTCTATTATGCGTTGTTAAAAAAAATGTGTCGACCTTTTTGGTAATAAATATTTTTTTTAAAATTATGTAGTAAATCAAATTGTAAAATAAAAAATAAAAAATTTGCGGGCCGGCCCGCCAACTCATTAGTAAACGGGGCTGGCTTGCCTTTTGGGCTCGGACGCTTAAGTCGGTCCGCCCCGCCTCGCCCCACTTTTGGACGGGCTTAAACGGGGCGAGCCTAAACGGGGCGGGCCGCCCACTTTGGCACCCCTAGGTGGGAGTAATTAGTAAGGGGGAGATTACTGGCTATTATGCAATCATTAAGGGAAATCATACAAAAAGTAGGTTTTATTGAAAAGAATAATGACACTAATGAGGTAGTTATTAGTGAAGTTAATGTGGAGTCAAGGAATGATGTCGTAGTGGAGACAAAAAAGGTTGACCTTGAAATTTCATTGGGTGACTTGCGTATTAATGGAGGGCAAGGAAACAATAGTAATAAGTAATCAATTCAGAATATTAATGACAATAATAATTGTAATGATTTAGTCAAGAAAAAGCGGGGAAAGCTGGACCATAAAAAATCCAAGAAGGCGAATAAGTTGGCTACATGTGGCACATAAGGATTTAAAGGCAGAGTCAGTGGAATTAATAAAAAGGAGATCAAGGGTATTTTTGGAAGTGGAGGTGATTTGGATATTATCCAATCGCAGCAGGTTAATATTATAAGGAGAGAGAGAAAAGGCATTGACGAGTCAAAACATTTATGGAGAGAATAACGAAATAAGAATTTATAAAAAGGTGGTTAATCAGATCAATATGGATGTGTTCCTGCATGTTGGGGAGAAGCATGAAAGGAATTTTTTCTTTATACGACCCCCAGATAGCAAGGAAATCATGGACGCTGCAGTTACGAGTGGTGAAAGGAATGTCTATGAGAAAGTAGTCCTTCGAAAGCAGCTAACCTTTTGCAGCCTGAAGACTTAACAATGAGGATGGAGAAGGTTAAGGAAACTCAACTGCAACCCTAAGTCTCTTGTGGTGATTTATTTATTTTCAACCTCAACTGTTAATGATGATAAGTAAGGATGATAAAATTTTAGTTTGGAATTTTCGAGGAGCAACGAGCAAAGCCTTCTATAGATATATTAAATATTATATTGATACTCATAGACCTTTCATTTATGTTGTTTTAGAAATAATTTGTGATCCTAATAAGATTCAAAAGAGCCTTATGTTGTTGGGATTTGATGAATATCTTGTGATAGAGAACCAAGGTTTTACTGGAGGAAATGGAGTAGCTTGGAAGAAGGAGCACTTGATTGTTAATCTTTGCAAGAAAGATACTCAATATATGCATCTTCATATTCAAACTTAGATAAGAAATAGTTGGTTCTTTACAGCCATTTATGTTAGTCCGAATGATTTAAAAAGAAGTATTTTATGGGAAGAGTTAAAAAGGTTAGCAGATAAATGTAGGAGGCACGGATGATAGTTGTGGATTTCAATGACATTATGAGCTCGATTGAGAAGAAGGGGGTGTAATGACCTCTGCTAGAAAGTGTAACCTTTTCAGAAAAAGAATCAATGAGTGTAAGTTGATGGATATTGGCGCTTCAGATCCCAAGTTCACATTGAGGGGGCCCTATTTACCATGAGATCAAAGAATCAATGAGAAGTTGGAAAGAGCCTTGAGTAATGTTGCTTGGAGAGAGATATGTTTCTTGATGCTCACATTAAATTCTTAGCTAGTGTTAAATTCTTAGACCATCACCCCATTTTAATCATGTAGGTCATGAGAATGAGTGATAATAATCCTAGACCCTATAAATTTGAGAGTGCCTGACTAGTTGATGATTCTTATTATAATATGCTTATGAGATCTTGGAGACAAGATATCATAATGAAAGAGAACATGGAAAAATCCAAAGAGAACATAAAGAGTTGGAAAGGAAACTCTTTTGATAAAGCCTTGAGAAAGAAGAAAGAGTACCTAGCTAGACTTAATATGGTTCAAGGTTGTATTCAAAGGAATAGTAATTACTCAAGAATGAGAATTTTTAAGAAAAATCTTTATACTGAATTGAATTTTATTCTCAAGCAAGAGGAGAT